TTAAAGGTCTGGGGAAAAAGGGTTCTTGAATAATTCATGGACATGTGTTGCTGTTGTTCCTTGTTTGTGTGTATCAGTGGCTGTGTGTGTGGGTGTGGCAAATCACTGAGTTTCAGGCATCATCAGGCCTGGTGGATGTGTGCGGAGAGCACACGGACACTTACTTTTTGGGGAAGACATGATGCGGCAGTCAAGGGAGAGCACGGGGATTTATTGTCATTTGTTGCACTGTAAATAAACGCGCTGTTTGCTGTGAGGAATCCTGCATTTTGGGTTCTACTTCCCCCCCATCCCCACGGTCTACCATACAGACCGTGACAAAAAATTAATATCTTTATAATAATGTAATCATGTATGCAATCACTGTAGTCGCCCACTTAAAAACAAAGCACCCTGTATACATCCCTGTTGTAAACCTTTGAAAACATCTTAAATTTATGCCTTTTGCTATCAGAGACAAGCTGATTCACAGTGATTTCCCACCTAAAGGGCACGGAAACGTTCTGTTTCAACTTTTCTTTAATGTCGTCCTGTTCTGTTTGGGGCCCCAATGTCTGAAGAATCAAGATGCTTCAAGGTGCAGGTGTGAATCTTTGGCACCAACTTCAATATTTCAAGGCAACAATTGAGGAGTTTGCCTGTAACATGGTAACAGTTCCTACGTTGGTGCTTTCTGTGATGTTTTTAGAAAAGCAAAGTATGAAAATATTAAAAACAAAACAAAAACTACAGCGCAGGCCCAGACTCATGAGAGGAAATGATTTTCCGTGCTCAGAAAGTACAGATTTCAAATACTCCGGGCGAAGCTGTGTGCCGTCCAATCAGCGTTCAGTGGATGTACGGAAGTGAGAAAAGATGCCGTCTGACGGGAACCTGCCAAGCTAACGGCTAAGAAGAGGAGGTGAAACAGGTGCACTTTCAAAATAAAAGAAAGTCTCTATCATTCTATGAATAGATTTGTGTTAGACGTTTGTTTTTTGATTTTTTACTTTTTACACACATTCATATAATTGTTTATTTTCTTTAAGTTTCAGACTATAGCCTAAAAGTTCTAACGCTTTCCACATAGTCACAGTCACTTTTATTTTGAAAGTTCAAAGCGGAAGTATTTTGTAAATTCGAGCAGTCTGATTGTGGAGGCAGAGCAGTAGGGTCCTGCGGGTCGTTTTTTGATAGAAATTAGCATAGATCTGTCAATCTAAAGTTTACATTTTGTAATCCCTCTCTTTACAACATGCAGCAGGTCGACACGTTGTTGCACATCGCGAATTTCAGCACACTGTTTGTGTGCATGGTGCTCAAGTTCCCGCAGATCTTTGTACTGATGCGAGCGAAATCTACGACCGGAGTGAGCCTCAACAGCCTTCTGCTGGAGCTGATCGGGTAGGCTGCTGTCCCGCTTCTGGGATGTTTTTTTTTTTCTTTTTTCTTGCTCTTAAATTTTGTTACATAATCTGTTCACGTGTGCGAGTATCCATGTAATTTAGTAGCTTCAAGCTGCTGTGATGATGGGACGTCTTCCTCTTCCTCACTTGCGGTTGGTGTTCAGCAGTGAAGGCGGACTCATCCTGTCAGAGAGCAGCTACAAATGCTTCTTCTGAAAACGCTGCGAGACGCTCAACACTAAAAGCTCTGGTGTTGTCTTTGTTACCAAAATTCTTTCTCCTTAAAGGCTGGATAAACGATGTTTAAAAGTTACCACCTTACTGGTAACATTCTAACAACGTTGAATGTTACCAGTAAGTCAGAATGTTACAATCACCGCGTAACCCTACAGTACAGGTGATAGAATCGCTGGTATTGGTATTGGTATTGACTCGATAGTAGCGTGATAGGACCGATACTTAGTTCTACAGCATATTGATACAACAGAAGTTGACTAAGTGCTTTAGAGAGAGGCAAGTTTCAGGTGTCCTCCCCCGAAAAAAATCAGCTTCAAAATACATGAAAACCCGAAACGTTTGATTTTTATTGCTCATTGAGATGTGTACATAATTTTCAAATTGATGATTGATCATAAATCATGACACTGCTCTCCCCAACACAAGCTGCCTTTATACGTCATAAGTATCAGTATCGGCAATACCTATCCTGCATTTTCAGTATAACACAGTGCTATCTTACTTGCATTTCTTTGGACTGTGGAAGGAACCCATGCAGGTACAGAGAAAAAGTGCAAACTTCATCCCTAAAGAAATTTCTTTTCTTACTCCAAAACACCCTCAAACTGTTGCAGACAAAGTGCTCTCCATTAGCTAACATTACAGTATAAAAAATTCTGTCACATTAGGCCTCAGTAGCATCCTGAAAATGGTTATCATGTAACATCCTCAGCATTGCAGTCAACACATTTTGCCATAGTTAAGCTTTATGTACTTTTGTCCATGTTTTATCTATGGAGAGACGGACTGAGAGCTTTTAAGACATATTTTAGCATTTTAACAATATTTCTGTTTTGTGTGAAATCAACTGTACTGTTCACAGTAAGTCTGCTAAAGACCAAAACTGCCTTCAGATGATAAGCTTTTGGAACCAAACACACAAGTTATACTCCAATATAATAGTACTCTGTATTTCCATTTATATAGATGTATTACTCCTGTATAGTATCCAGATTGCAGGATTAGCAGTGCATTTCATTATAAAAGTTGAGTGACTAAAGCCATCCAGGGGGTCAGACTGGATCCGTTGGGCAGCTCATGGAGAACAGGTTTGACACCCCCATCCTAAAACTCCTACAGAATCGCTGATGTATAGCAATACATTTTGGCATAAATACCACTTTCACTTTGATAAAAGAAATGAGTATTTCTTACAGATTAAAACTTAAATAGGACACAAAGAGATTGTGTTCCTAACAGCTGAAAAACTACAGTACCTTAAAATGAAAAAAAAAAAATCCTACTGCGAAGGCTCAACACTGAACAATTGTGCTTTGTTTGCACAGCTGAAGATTTTGGTTAAATGATTAAAAACGGGGTAAGAGTCAGCCTCGGCTGGCTCTGTGTGAAGCTTTGTGCAGTCTGCTGTTGAATCAGTGCAGCAGATTAGAGCTTGAAGTGCTTCTTATGCATTGAACAGGAAGTGTTGTGGTTACCTTCACTGTTGGAGCAGGAGGGATAAAGACCGTGTCTGTAAGTCTGCGTAATTTCTCTCTCTCCTTGGTGCCTGGCAGTGGCTGCACTGTCTGAAATGTCCCCACTGTTTTGGTAAGCGTTAGCTTGCTGTCGCTGTGCATGCCACGCTGAAACAGTGAAGACGTTTATGTAGTTAGTAGTAATCTACACAGCATGGCTACAAAGCAGCAAAGAAAAGCACTCTTGTCATTCGGCATGAACGGTTGTGTCACTAGTGGAAAATCATTTCCACACACGCCAATATTAAATAGCTCTATTCTAGATTATATTAACTGGCAGTTGGCTTTATTGATCACTACCTCTTCCTAGGAACAAAAAAAAAAAGCCCCAACACAATAAAGCCTATCTGAGAGTGGATAGGTTAATCTGCTATTGATTTCACCATATGATGTTGTTGTGTTATACTGTTTATTTAACACTGTGGGAATCTCTGTGTGCACATGTATGCATCTGTACGGTGGCTTGCAATAACAGGGCTGGGAGTCTCAAACCTGCCAGAATCAAAACAAACTCATTAGTGCAGAAGTAAAAATGGATTATGTCATCAAATGCCCCAAATGTAAACTGTATGTATAAATGTATTTTATAAAATGGGACATGAATTGAGATGCTTTTACTTGCTTTTTTATTTACTTGTCTTTGCATGAATATCTCAGTTCATTTGCTTTCTTTTTTAATTTTTGATGTATTCAGTACATCCATCCATCCATCCGCTTTTGTGCTGCCTGTCTGGGCTGTAAGAGCAACAGTCTAAGCAGAGGAGTTTAAACCTCCCTCTCCCTAGTTAGGAGGTGATGCCAGTGTGGTCCTCAGCCAACTGACAGCTGTAATCGCTCTCCTGGTTCCTGGGTCTACACAGAGCTCTCTTTCTTTACCTATAAAATCCAAGTCAGACTCCTAAAGTGCCTTAACTTGCTCCTCACCCTATCTTTGCATTCATGAGCGCTGACATTGTATTTATTTCCATTTCATTTTCCCTTCATTTATCTCTGCAAACATTTCTGTTTGTCTTTTTACGTTCCTTTATGCATTTCTAACCACTGCAATCTGCAAGCACATTTGCATAATTTAGCAGAGATGAAAAATCAAAAAGGGAAAATGGAATAATAGATGTTTAGGGGGAAAAGCAAAGGAAAAATGCTTGAATGGGAAAAATAATACACTGATAAACAAAAGGGAAGATTAATCGATATAAAGGTAGCTAAATATAGAAGCAAATTATAAAAAATATTAGTTCATTTGATTTTTTAAAAAACAAACAAACAACTATTGGCACATTTAATGGCATCTTGATTTCTTTACGGTTTGATTGCAGTCAGTTCAGCCCTCTATAGACTACTACTTGCAGACCTTCTCCTGCTGAAGGCTACCACTGTTGATTCATCGTGTTTGCTGAGCACACCGAGTCGAGCTGCTCTCATAAAAGAGTGAATGAACTGATCATCATGCTGCCGCTTGGCTCAGAAACTGCTTGTTGACTCCCCGTGTGAATCCCTTCCCACAACATCAAGCTTTAAGCAGCCACTGATTCTTTGGCTCGTTTGCCCCTGAGCATTGTTTCTCATTTTAATCAGTACTGAATATAACAAAACACCTCCAGTTTAATAACCTGACACCATATGCTTTACAGGTTCATTGTTTTTGTAACATATCAGATGTACTACGACTACCCACCGCCAACCTACTTGGAATATCCCATCCTCATTGCTCAAGGTAAGTTATGCTGTTACATAAGTTTCCTCTGCTTATAATTATCTCCGCAAGTGTCTTTTTTTCAACCTTGTCTTAGATCCAGATTCCTTAATTAGTTTATCATTCAGTCTTAAATGCCTCGCGTTGCTCTCTGTAGTCTCTGTCTATTGAGATCATTCAAAAGGAGCTCAGTCATATTAACGTATCTTGTTTAGTAAAGCTGCACATATGATTGGCAACTTCATGCCCGTGGCAGTGGTGGAGGAAATTAAGACTTTTCATTAAGTGTAATTAAGGGTAGAGAGATGGGCAAAATAAAGTTGGAAAAAACAGAAGGAGTCTGAATACACTCTGAAGCATCTGCAAATATCAGCAGCCCTTGAAATGGAAATCAAACAGAGCTGTAAATGGTGCGAGTTATAACCCGCCGTGTGTCCTCAGACGTCATCCTCCTCTTCCTGATTCTTCACTACAACGGCAGCCTGCGGCAGAGCCTCATCTACGCCGTGGTGTATCCTTTCACTTATCGCACCAATTGATGTGAAAGTGCTCGTTCAATTTGTGCAGAAATCAATGACCCATTAGACTTTTGTGTCCCTGCCTTAACGTACTTGTGCTCAGGTTTGTGGGAGGCTGGAGGCTCCTGACTCTGGAGAAGTGGATCATAGATTTGGCTATGGTAATAAACCTGTTTAAAATCAATCATAAGTCAGTGTGTGCGTGAGAGACAGAGTCAGCAAAGAGATGGCATGTCATCAGTCAGGGGCAATGAGGTGGAGCTTTGAGAAGAAACTTATACAGACCTCATTTCACCCGGTGTTTCTCACCCAGACCTTATAAATGCCAAATGGCCCGGTTGGTTAATGAGATGAACATGTCTCAGGGCGTTTTGCATTTAAATAGGTGAGAGCAGCGAACCCTCCACATCCTTTCCTCTTAAAGTTTGACCGAAGCAGCAGAAGGTGTTTGAAACTTTTTGAAATTCAGCTCCATGTTCAGCTTGTTATCACATGAAATCTGACCTCCTTCTCCTCTCAGAGCCTGTGCACATTTATTAGTGCAGCCAGTAAGTTTGCCCAGCTGCAATGCCTGTGGAGGTCAAAGGACGGCAGGCAGGTTAGTGCCCTCTCCTGGGCTCTAGCTACCTACACGTGTATGGGTGAGTTTAACCAGCCAACAGTGTTCGCTGTGTTTTTTTTGTTGTTGTTGCTGCATTCCCCACTGTATGATTAGATATACATTCAAGTTCTCTTTTTTAGCTGTGTACCAAACAACATTGAAGTTGTAGTATTATAACTTAGTTTAAAATAAAAACTTTGAGGTTAAGTTTGAGGATTTTACCATTCATTCATAATACGTTAAAAAGTAATTCAGTAGTCTTTGTGGAGAAGTCTCAGCAATTTCTTCAAAAATTATAATAACTTTAGGAATTAAAAGATCTACTGCTAATTTTATTTGAAAGCCAAATACAAGCAAAAGATAGCAAGAACACATTCATGCTGATTTGAGAGGAAAATTGAGCTAGTGAGCCCTACAACCTGGATGTACACAGTCTATATTGGTGTATGATCCCAGGATCCTTTCCATGATTAAGAAGAAACCATTCACAAAGGTCATCATCAAGAGAAGACTTTTGATAGATAAAGATCAACTTGTGAAAAGAAATGTGGAGGTTTCATAATCCAACTCTGTAAAAATGTTACATAACCGCTGTTCATGGGGATAAACTGCTCAGATTCATACAAATGCAGCAGCGACTTACTGCAAAATCACCTCAAGGGGATCTGAAAGTTAAGTGGAATATTGTATAGTAGGCGAGTCGATCACCTATTCAAAACCCAGTGAGTTGCATTTTAAAATTAAAGGTAGAAACAACAACTGGAATCACTTTAAATTTAACTCCTCAAATTAAAGCTGAGCCCCGAGTCTATATTCAGTAGATCACTTAAACTTGTTTCTGTACTCAGCTTAAAAAAAAGAAAAAAAAGAAAAAGCAAATACGGTGTGATTATCAGAAATTGTAACAAACTGCAGCATGAAAACGTGCCAAGGATACTGTTGCTACTTTTCATACTGCAGTCCTATCGCTGTCAAACTGAATCCTGTTAAGCACTTTTATCAGTTCACATAAATCCCCCTCCCTAAAGTAACAAGTCTACTCTTTCATTTCATGAATATGCACGGTAGTGTTTATTCAGCCCCCAATTTAATAAATGAGCAATCCAACGCTTCATTAATGAATGATCAGACGCTCTGTCGGGTAACAGGGATGTCATTAACTCTGCTTCCTCTTCGTTTCAGCTCGGATTTACACCACCACAGTGACAACTGGAGACGTGCAGGGTAAGTCGGTCTGAATTACTAATGACTGTGGGAGGTGTTGCATCCCAGAATTTTTAATGAACACTTCAAGGGAAAATGATTTGTTTTCTAAATAACCATCGTAGATTTAAAACGAGCATTTTTTGTGCTCTTCTCTGGGAAATATCCTAAATAAGTTCACAAGGAAGTGAATAGTGACTTTGTTTTATACTTAGCGGTCGAATTCGTTTAGATTAGACTGCTTTAAAACAAAAAGGGACGTTAGTGCGGATGAGGCCACCCGGGCCCGTTCAGTAATCTATCAGTAATGCATCATACTTCTATATTTCAGCAAGAGTAAAAGTGGGGTTTACAAAGCATTAGTGAGACCTCCTATGATGTATGGTTTGAAGATGGTGGCACTGACAAAAAGACAGGAGGTGGAGCTGGAGATGGTAAGATTTTCATTGGCAGAGACCAGAATGGACAGGATTAGAAATGAGAATATCAGGGAGAGATGGTTTGGACGTGTGCAGAGCAGAGATTGTGGATGTACTATACAAAGGATTTTGAATGTGGAGCTGCCAGGCAGGAGGGAAAAAGGAAGACCACACAGAAGGTTTGGGGATGTAGTGGAGGACACAAGGAGGATGCTAAGGATAGGAGGAGGAGGAGAACCGGAGTCTGGTTAGTGTTAATGGCTAACTTTCAGTCATAATTAATTAAACTGGCAGGTCTAAAGGGCTGCTTCTTTACAATAATGAACGTCAGTAACAGGACTGTCATACAAATTTACACATCACCGGAAACCTGCAGTTTCTTATAAGACCAAAGGATTTCAGGCATCTTTTACCTGGAGTATCTCCGAGTAGTCACCATTTGTAACTCCAGCTCTGCTGTCCTTGTGTGATTCAGAGACGTCGCTGTCAGCTTCCGTGTTTCTGATCATCTTTTCTCTTTGCAACAGTTCTGGTGCGGTTCATAGCGATGACCCTGCTGAACCTGTGGGTGTTGCTCACTGTGCTCCACTATCAGAGACGCGGCAGCAGCTCCAAGAAGAAAGACTAAGTGTTTAACACTGGATTCTGCAGATCAAAGACAACTGGGTCACTTTAGGCACAACCAGTACTGTAAAATGAAACTAACGGGTAACAAGAGGTCTATCAGCAGAGAGATGATTTTTTTATATAGTCTGTCTTCCCTGTTAAAGCCACACATTTGTTTGAATAACATTCCAGTTTGTAAAAATCTGTTGATAGGAAGAGAGACCAATGCTTTGCCATACAGTCTGTGAAAATTCAAAACAAATCTATTGTTAGACACGACCCCACGTATATGTGAAACGATCCTATTCCGGGTAAATTGTTTTGGAAAAGCTTTTGTATATGTAAAGTTATTTTCTGAACTGTTTCAATAAACCAAATTCTACCTTTTTACAGTGAGGTCATTTAATTTAAAATAAAAAGTTGAGTATGGGAGCTCAACACTGCCAAAATTCAAAACAAAACATTGCATGAAATATGCCACAAATTCAATCTCAGATTGATGTGATTTCATTTGCTTTATTGTAACTCACCATGTTTCTGGACAAAGACACAGTTCTTATGATTGCGACACCACCACGGTGGATTTCAAATCAAACAGGATTTGACTGAAGTGCAGACTTTCAGTTTTAATCAATATGGTTTAACAAAAGTATTGCAGAGACTGTTTGGTATTCAGGCCATTTGTATTCAAGGTCCTCTCAGAGGCTCAAAATTAATTGGACAGCTAGCTAACGAGCAGTTCCATGCCCAGGTGAGACTTGTTCCCTCATTATTCCATGACAGATTAAGAGGATAAAACACCTGGAGTTGATTGCAACTGTTAAACTTGCAGGGGATATATATGTATATATAATTATTTATTGTCTCATTTAAAAGAGAAAGAACAGATGAGCTGTCATGGTACGAGAATGTAAGGAACCAGGTCACTGGTGTCATGTTAATCCATTGAAATTTGGCCTATACTCACCAAGGTCAACTCAGTGCTTCATTGTTAGAAAACTGATTTAAAAAAAACAAAAACCCTTAGAACTTATGGTTCTTATTACCGTGGTCATTTTTGCAACATATAGAAAGTACTGTGTAAAGATTTAAAGTATCACATTTGACCTCTGACATATCCTTCAAGAAAAATAGTGTAATCGGAAGGTTAAAGTGATAATACTTTGTAGAGCCATTTAAAATTGTTTCTTACTGCCAAAAGTATTCACTCAGCCATCCAAATCATTGAATCCAGGTGTTCCTATCACTTCTACATGTGTATAAAATCAAGTACCTAGGTGTGGTACCTTGACAGGATGCCACCTGTGGAACAAGTCCAGATGTGAAATTTCCTTGTTACTAAATTTCCAGTTAGTGGCGTCATGACAAAGCAGAAGTGATTGGGAATGACAGCTCGGCCACAAAGAATTTTCTTTTTGCCTGTCCAGTCCGTCACTGTAGCACTCAGAATTATTGTCTGAAGGCCAAGAATTTTCTTTTTTAGATTTCGGTATTATTTAATGTGTTTCTCTTTCGTGTTTCAGTAGTTTGAGTATGACCGACAGCTTGTGTTGGACTCAATATCAGAATACGGAGGATTCCATATGCCTAAAAAAAAAAACCAGTGGAATAAAATCAAAAATATCAATTTGTCACAATTTATATTTATTATACAAAACTGCTTACTATTTAATATTTTTTGTGGCACATTTTTATTTTGGCACTTTTGGTTCACCATAGTTGTACACCTCTGCAGAATGACAACGTCTAACATTTTTAAAACAGAAAAACGATCCAAAACCAGAAGGCACATCCATGTCTTTATTGTTGAAGTGGTTATTATCATAGAGCTGTTTGATAGCAAACATGCAATCTGGATGTAGAACCCTTAAATACAAAGTGGACAAGGCTGTATAAATAATATAATGTGCACTGTATGGCATGTAAAATATATACTGTGTATATTTATATGTATAAAACATGCTTCTTGGTTAAAGGAGAGTGCACATACACACACACACACGCACTCAGTTTACTCTCCACCTGCTAACTAAGTCACATACATACGACAATGTGCCCAAACTCAGAGTTTGGTTTCCTTTAATACAAAAATAAGGACAAACACTTTTAGAAAAAACTTCAATGGAATAGTGCTGCTCAGTATTTCCACTCATGGTTTCAGGATATGATTGGATACCTTCATTATTTCGGCTTCTTATTGGTTAACTTCCCTCATTTTCACTTTTGGTACTGACTAAAAATGACTAGGCATGTGGGTGAAAAAGCAAACGCATGCAAGTTCACTCAGAGTAGTTTGTGATGAAAGGCGCGGCTTCAGTCAAGTATACTTGGATAATACAATGCCTGTGTGTCGTCTCTGGTGAAGCCCAGATGTACATTCAAAAACAACAGAAGGAGCCGAGCTCTGATCAGAAAGCATTAACGGTGCACCCCTTTGAATTCAGTAAACATTAACCCTCAGAACTGACAGTGCAGGTTTGCAGAGATTATGGGATCGTGAGGACTTCATGTCTTAATCTAATGCCATTTCAAGCAGGATTCTGTTCCCTTTGTAGTCGTTTGACGTCAAACCCATGATTCAGCGTGTGCATGAGTCAGAAATCTGAATAAGAGGCACTCTGAGAATTATTTGCTCATATCCGAGAGGAAGCTGGGCTTCATTTGCTGCCTTAATGACTTTCCATGAAGTCACAGCTCATTTGGTTCCTAAGTACCTTATTCAAGATTCCCCATGGACACGCACCTGAAAGCAGAGCTGTGAAAAGCAAGAAGCTACAATCATGTTAAAGAGTTTGAAAGTACAGACACCATAAGCCAACAAAAATACAGACTCTTCTGAGTGTAGTGTTCCCCCATTAAACCCTTCATATTGTTCACAATCATTAAACACAAGATTGTCTTTTTTTCTTTTGGCCATGAGAATCCTCAAAGGTGGTGTGGAGGTGGTTTCCTGCTGGCTGCTTCAATCAGACAGAACTGTCTGTCCTGGAGAGAACTGTTAAGCTAAGTGTTCCCCTGTTCTTGTCAGCCTTGGTCAGGCTCATAAGAGCTATCCTCCATTGTGTGGGAGCCGAACAAGCTACTCCAGCATCCAAGAGCTGCACAAGTGCTCTCGCCAAGGACCCAGGAGAGGACTTGGGTTATATGTTTATGAGACGCCCAGCTTGCTGTAAAGACGGCAGATGCTGAGGTGAGCTTGCTAAGTGGCTTGGAAACAAGCTGAATAAAAATGGAAAATGCCAGACTTGGTAACTCTCGCAGGCTGAAACGGGACAGGGTGGAGTGGGCAGTGGAGAAACCAGTCCAGTGTGCTGATCTGCAAACGGAGGTTTGTATAGAGTCTTTGATTTAGGAAGAAACTCTTCCCACCACCTCGTCGATGCACCACACTCCCGGGCAAGGTTAACTGGAGGGAGAGAGAGAAACAGATGCAAGTTAATCTCAGCAAATATGCAGCGAGATGTCAGGAAGATTAAAAGATTGGGCTGTGATTTGAATGGAACAGCGAAGGCATCATTTCATACAATTACCAAATCAAGGACCTGGCTGATTTTCAGACCGAATGTAAGAAGCTGCATTTTTAATCGTTACCCTACATTTATTTTATCTCAGCAAAAAACTCAAATGATTTAAAAGTCTTTGTAGTAAACAAACTGGCTAAGCATGCATTAGTCCTACCAAGATATACAATGATCCTAATTTGGATTTTAAGCAAGTCCTATGTCCACAGACTGTATATAAAAGATGGAAATAGCCACCGAGCAGAACATTTCAGCCATTGCCATCTTGTTTTTTTTAATTATTATTTTCCTTATACATTTTATGATTTAAGGGTGACGACACTCCACACTCATCCTGTGACGAACTGTCAGTCACAAGATGGTCTTACCCTAAACCAGTATATTTAACTAAATTGAGAACATGCTGTAATAAATGAAACCACTGATTTGATCCATAAGTTCACCAAAAAAAAAGTGCTGATTGAGGTGTTCGCGTGAGCCTTAGTAATTTTCTCTGCTGGCCATGAGACAGACGGCAAGTCAATTCTGAATTAATTTCTATGAAGAGCATCTGCATGATTTTGGTCCTGAAAACCTTTTGGTTTCTTACTGTCGTCCACTGCACAGCCTGTGTGGAGAGCAAAAGAGGTTTGCTCCAAATTAATTTCAGTTCATTCCAGTTTATCTGCATTTGTAGACACTGCCTGGAACATGAGAAATGAAAAATCTTGGCTTGGATTTCTTCTAACTAAACCAGACATCCCAACAAATTGTCCAAAATTCCAAGAGGCCAAATCGGCAGACTAGCTGATGTGGTTCCAAGATTGGCTTCGCTTCTCAGGTCATCATATTTTATTCACAGTCTGAGGACAGATCAACATTAAATAATCTAAAGTCTGCGCGGGAATACAGCAGCGAATTGTTCAAGCGAGTCGCAGCCGAGTGCTGCCTCGCTAAAACTCGCTAAAAGTCCTGTCTTATCTCTTGTTGTATGAGAAAGGGCAACTTCAGACAAACCTGAGAACTTATTCTTCTGAATTTATTTTTGTCCAGTTCAAAACACCCAGTGCCCAAGTGATCCCAACTCTTAGAAGAGCAAATCCACCCAAACTACGTGGCTCACGTTCCATAATACAGAGTATATTCACCACCTGCACCACCTCAGAGTGACACCCAAAACAAACAAACATACACACACTGAGAAGTTGAGATGTTTACAGGGAAACATCTGGTCAAAAGAAGAACAAGGAGGAGGAGGAGAAGGAAGGAGCTGTCATTTGTACCAGGTACTGCTGGAATCTTCTCGCTTTATTTTGAAGCCATTTGACCTGCGAGGGCTGAGGTCAGACATTTTTAAGGTTTTTTTAAATGGCAGGCACTGCACAGCACACATTGCACACAGTGTTACCAAATGTGGTCATCAGAAATGTATAGAGGAACAGTCATCATCTATATCATCCAACGCCCAGTGCCAGTCCTGGAGACTGGAG